AAAAAAATGTTTGCCAAATCGGCCCAATCGTTCTCAATTGATGAATTACTATACATTTTGCACACCATTTTTATATATGTATATAGAAGATAACTGATCACTTTCTTTCTTTCTTTCTTTCGTCCAACATTTTGCGCGAAGTCAAGAAGTGCTTGCAAGTGAAGAATGTATGGTGTACGTTATCTTCGACGTTTCCACAGTAGTTACAGAACGATGAGTCTACCCTACCCATTCTATGAAGATATTCTCGGAAGTAACCATGACCGGTGAGGAATTGCATCAGGTGGAAATCGATGTCCCCGTGCGGTCTTATCAACCATGTTTGAAGGTCGACTATCAGGGCGTGCGTCCATCGACCTTTTGTACTCGCATTCCAGTTTTATTACCAGTGATGGATTAGTTGCTCGCGTGCCCTTTCCGCGGCAGCTGCTTGGCCCATCTCGTCACTAAACTTGTAAATCTCTTTTCGCTCGTAAGCAAGTAGCTCTACTGACATGACGCCAGAAATAACTAGAACCGCATCCGCGGACACTGTACGGTATGCAGAATCAATACGTAAATAGTGCTCCTCTGCGCTGGACGGAGGACATTTGAATCCGGTGTTTTTTTACTCTGCGTCGGCCCATATTTCCGCCCCATACAGGAGCACCGACTGGATCGCTGTCATCAAAAGTTTCTTACGGCATGGCTTCGGGACGCCCACGTTCGCCATCAGCCGGTTTACAGACACCGTGCTCTGCGCAGCTTTTTCACATACTCCATGAATGTGTTCCCAGAATGTGAGTTTGTTATCAAGCTTCAACCCTAGGTATTTTATAGACCTAGAAGTTGTCACAGGCTGAGGTCCGACCATCATGTTTATAATTGTTGGGATCCATTTCTTGGGGAGGAGTACGATCTCTGTTTATGGCTGTAGCCAATTGCAGACCGTGATCGCTCATCGATCCACTGGCGCAGCGCATTACCTGGTACCTGGTTTAGCTTGACCTGCGCTAGCTAGATGTTTCTTGCATTTATGGCGGTGGCCACATCGTCCGCGAAAGGGACAAGGAAGGCGCTCTCCGGTATTGCCATGTGAAAACGACTTTCATACGTGGCGTTCTAAAGGTCCGGGCCAAGTACAGCTCCCAGCGCCACTCCGCCGGTTATACGTCTTTTTCTCTGACGTTGTATTGCGTCGTATAAAAGCCAATGGTTTCTGAGGTAGTCCTTAATCATATCTAGCAAATATGTTGGAACTTTGAATGACCGTTCCAAGGCCTCCAGCATGTTGTCCCATCTTGCCGAGTTGAAGGCGTTCTTGACGTCCAGTGTAACTAGCAGCACTATTGGCAGCGCCTGATAGCAGGCTTCTTCGGCTTTATGTACCGCCTCGACTTCTTCGCTAATTGCCTCTATAGTTGAGTGTCCCTTCCAGACTCTATTTGTCGGGGTGAAAAGCATCCCTCGTTCTCTATGGCTAACTTTAAGCGTATTTTTAACAGAATTTGGTTCCCCTTTGCCCGTAGGTATAAGTACCAGCCTCGCCTTCTTCCATTGGCTTGGGAAGACCCGTGTCCTAAGGTAGCTGTTGTACATGTTAAGCAGGAGATCAGGGCTCGTTTTCGCTGCTAACCTGATTGCCTCCGCTGGTGTGCCATCGGGGCCTGGAGTCTTGTCGACTTTCATGCTTCGCAGAGCTAACTTCAGTCCGTATACCGAGAACAGTGGTGCCTCGGCTTGCTCCTCGATGAACATTGTATCTGCTCTTAGTGGGTGTGTGAGAAATAGTGAATCCATTATATTCTTAACTCGGACCTCATCTCTCACTTGCGATAGCGTATGGAACTTTTTCGTGGCTCTTTTATATCCCTGCCCCAAGGATCACAATTCACTTCGGCACATAACGCTTTTCAGCAGTTCCGCTTACTCTTCTGTTTCTCGGCCTCAAGTGCTTTCTTAGCGCTTTTGTAGGCTGCTACTCTGGCTGCTACTCTGGTGAGCGCCTCAGGTCTGCCACGAGCGCGCGTTGCGAGTCTCCGCATTTTATGGCAGGCCCTTCGCAGCTCTGTAATTCGATCATTCCACCAGTATACCTGGTTTTTACCTGACCATGCTATCCTCTGCGGCATTGAGGCTTTGCATGCCCGATGTATACAGCGCATGGTTTCTTCGACCAGCATAGCACAAGACTCCCTGTTGTGGATCTCTCCCGTTGTGGGTGAAAGGCTTTGGGAATCTGCTAGGAGTGATGTGTCGAACTTGCAACCCTAGCCGGGTTCCATCCTGGTTTCCTGCGGGGATGCTACGTGTTTGCTCTTGCGATGTGTCAGTGACTTGGACAGTGATGTACTTCCATCAGGCCTTCCACCACCCTCCATTCGTAAGCCCATCCAAGAAGGCTTTCTGAAACCAGGGTTACGTCAGGGATCGAGTATCCAAAACCCGGCCTTCGGTATGTAGGGGTCGTCCCGGTGTTGAGAATGGTCAGGTCAATGCCGGCTGCCATTTCAAGGACCAGTCTTCCCCTGGTGTTTGTTTGGGAATACCCCATTCCACACCTCTTGCGTTGCAACAATTATATGGCCGGTTATAACACGCAACTCATCTTCAAGGCCTTCAAGCTTTTCCCTGAAGACAATGACTGTATCGTTTGGCGCCAGGTAGCAGCTAACCAGAGTAATTTGCGCCATTTTCACAGACGTAGCAACATCCGACCCCACTGCTTTCTGCGCGATAGTTGGGGTTAGAAATCTATACCGCGGTCGAGCATGATTGGTCAACATGCCAGGTTTCCTTTGTTCTATAGGGTTCACTGATGATGGCAGCGGCTGCTCTTAGTTCAAGAGCAAGTTGCCTTATATAAATTTAATCATATTTGCCCAATCTGTGTCTCAGCCTCAACAAGCGCATCCCTGAAGGCGCGAAGTTGGCCATTCATTTTGCCTCCTAATTCCCCGCGTATAGCGTTCTCCACTTCTAGAACCGTGGTTAGGCAGTCAACGCCCAGAACTTCTAGACGTAAACGTCTAGTGAGGATACGGATGTATCCAAGCTGGCCAATGGCCGTGCACACATTTTCTTTGAATGCTGAATAGTCGCCACAGCGCCCTATCTCGATAAACACGACGGTTTTTTCGAGCAGATCGAATTACGGTAGACGTCTTCTCAGATTGGAGCTTACCACGTATCGTTCCCAGCACCTATGCATAGGTTTTGCCTTCAGCTGGCTTAATGATGAGTTTGGCGAGACTTTTCCTTTTATCAGCCTCGAGGCTGGTCGCCTCGCCCCTATTGGCCAGGGGTTGACCTGGCCCTGGCTTGGGTTTCTGCGTTTATCAACCGTTGTCTATTGATTATTTGGTGCGATTTTCTGCGCTTTTTTTCTTTTCCGGCTCACCTGTAGGGGAGTCAGACCGAGGTCGAGCCCTCTTTTGTGAGCCAGGGCCAGTTTTCCGCAGCTCGGAAAGGGTAGGCTTTTTCCGGCCTTGCTCTCGGAGATTGCTTAGTATATTTAAGCTCTCTTCGATTTAAGCCATGCCCATTTTAATGTCGACGGACACATTCTTCTGCTTGGAGACAGCACTCTGCATCTTCTTCAAGACGACTCGAATTTGAGCCAACTGCTCTTCTTCAATGCATTCGCGGGTTTCCGAGCTTGCGGTGACGTGTTTGTAGTTGCTTGCAGCAACTCGTGTTCGGTGACGACCACCGCCGGAAGTTGTCATTGGGGAAGATAAAGCCTTCTGTGCCACGTCGGCAGCATTCTCCGCGCTCGTGGAGCCGGCTTTTGCCTGCAGAGGAGTTTGTGGCGGGGAACGCACAACTCTACTGCTCCTTCTGAATGAGCTGCATTCTTCCTCCAGAACATCTACGTCTGTTTCATTTGCCTTCGTTTGTTCATTTCAATTGGGTGTCCGCTATCTCCACACGTAGCACAGTCGCTTTTAAGTGTCCCGAAGTTCTCTTCTCTCAAAGGAGCAGGCCATCGCGAGGGTTGTCATAAGACCTTATGGGATATTGTGTTCAGAGCCAAGATTGCGCAAAACCAGGAGTAAATCTCAACTGGACCTGTGCGGCCAACTATATGGCGACGTGTATTGAACGTACTTGAAGAGTTGTCAGGTTTTTAACGAGACGGAAGTGACCCTATTAAGCTGGCATTTCAGGGTACTATTCTATATATATAAGGAAAATTTAAAAGTTAGGGGGGGGGGGGGGGGGGGGGGGCCGGGCCACCCCCCTGCCCCTACCTGGCTACGCCCATGCCTGATTATAAAAAGGCAATATGATGACCATCGAAAAGGAAAATAAAGTTGAATATGGCAACGTCTTGATTATAAAAAGGCAATAAGATGACCATCGAAAAAGGAAATAAACCTAAGAATGGCGGCGTCTTGCCCTTATTTGCAAATAGTACCACTAATCAATACTTATTTGCGTGATTTAGTTATTTGCAAATAAAAAATTAACTCAGCGTTTATGCGGCAAAGTTTACCATTTTGCAAATTGTTATTTGCAAATAATACGTTCGTACAAACGTAGTAATATTCTCACAAGCGCAAGCACAATAAACACTTACTATACCAATTATTTTTTGCCTCCTTCCACTTTCAATTCACTTTTTTTACTTTTTAGATTATTCTCACTTTTTGTGTATTCTTTAATTTCCGTTAATTTAAATTCAGGTGAATTTGACACTTTTAAAGATTCTGCCAGCAAAAATTCTTCTGACTAAATCTGACTACCTCGGACTGAAGAGAATCACTTTCACTGAGAGTTGCTCTCTCATTTCTGCAGTCATTTTCGAGTTAAGGAACGCTTTTTGGACTAAATCTGACTACTTCGGACTATTTCTGGGAGATAAGGAACGCAACTATTATTTAACAGCCACACCTTGTATACAACATCAACAGCAATAAATAATTTTACCTTTATTTGATTTCAGACTAGTTTATTTGTATTTTAAATAGTTCAAGATAATTGCGGCTCTAATACAAATTTTGATTTCCGTTTAACAGGGTATTTTGCCTCGCTTGTTTGAAACAACTCCAGCTGGTATATCGCGCAAGCAGTTTCAACACTTCGGCCAGCTGATTAAGTCAGGTAATTATGTCTTCGCTCACATACATATACATAGCCAATCGACAATTTGACGAGAGAACTAGTCCTCTTTCTGACAGGTCAAGTCTTGAAAGCAATTTTTTTCGCATTCTCTTTTGTGTTTTCTATTTGCTTCCACACGCGTCAAATTTATTTTAATTCAAGTCCTTGGTTCTTAAATGGGAAGCAACGAAAAGATCAAAAGAGACAAGAAAACTAGAAGCGAATTCACGGTACGGAGGTATATGTACTCTTCCCCTCTCTTCCCACCTCCTTCGCCAACGAACGAGCAGACTTGAAAGCAAGACTTGACGTGTCTGAAAGGGGACCTACAATAGTGCTTAAGAGCAAAATTACACTAATGCCTGGATTATAATGGAAGTAACGGAACGGAGTGAACTGTCACTTAATTATCTACTGTATGGGCAATGAATTCCAACGATTATAATGCACTTGAACGTAACGTAAAACGGAAGCATCTAAAATCAATAGATCCTTACGAATTCGCCGCGATTCGTTACGATTCGCCCCGTCCATTATAACCAAGGTATAAGCTCTACCCAGAATTACAGTGGATGACGGTAGAGCGGTCGGCGGTAAGTGAACAGCTGTACGGTTACCGCAGGGAGATCCGTCAGAGTAAACACAATTGCGGCGTACGATGGCTTCCGTAGTTGTAATTAGAGATGGCACGATTAATCGAATTTTTATTTCCTTTCGATTAATCGAGCGATAAACCGATTAATTTTCAAAATAATCGAAAAGAATCCATCCATATGAAATAAAATTACGTAACAAAAATTGGCACTCTAACCGTTCAATAATATTAGAAACGTTAAGAGTGTCTCCTCTACTCGGTATATTTATTTTACTCGGTACATACGTATAATTTTACGAGTTTATTTATTACATTTATTGCTGTCAGAAAAGAAAATGCATTAACAGTTGACTGGTTTAAGAAACCTACA